CTACTTTGTCTTCCTTCCCCCCCCCCTACCCCCCCCCCCCCCCCCGTCCATTTTCACCAAGTGGCTTTCTTCATTTCTTATTGAAACTCATCTCATTTTTTCCCTCACCATCTTTGTCCATACTAGATAAACAACAAAAAGATACTAAAAGAAAAAATAAAGAAGAGAGAATAACAAAGCCTTTTTGGCTTATTTTTCCATCCATATTGATTCTTGAAGATAAAGAAGAAAACCCCAGATAAAGAATTGTAAATTTCTACCACTTTTCAATGTTTATACAAAGAACTAGCTAGCAATATCATGACACAAACTTTGAAACACTAATAATATTTAATATTTTCCTTTTTTTTCTTCTCTTTTTTGGACAGGAAAAAAAGGATTAATGGCACCAGATGGAGGAGGACTGAAAGCAAGAAATAATGGAGGGACAAGACAGGTATTAAAGAAAGGTCCATGGACAGCAACAGAAGATGCAATTTTAATGGAATATGTGAAGAAAAATGGAGAAGGAAATTGGAATGCAGTTCAAAGGAATTCAGGATTAATGAGATGTGGGAAAAGTTGTAGGTTAAGATGGGCTAATCATTTGAGGCCTAATCTTAAAAAAGGTGCATTTTCTTTAGAAGAAGAAAGGCTTATTGTCGAACTACATGCTAAACTTGGAAATAAATGGGCTCGTATGGCTGCTCAGGTTATTAATTCTTTGATAAAAATAGTATTGTTTTAAGTTCTTTATCTCCTTTTTTGACACAATATGCGTGCGTCTAATTAGTCGGGAGTCAGGATTTTTATTAAATGATGTCAAAATTTAAAAAAGTAAACACACGAAAAAGTTCAGGGGATTCAACATATAATATATATATATATATATATACATAATACACAGTGACGAATCTAGAGTAGATGCTTAAGCTTGCCAGAATTCACTACGTCTAGCTCAAACATATATATGCATGTGAGAGGGAAAAAATTGGCACACATGAAGAAAAAAAATCTACCCACTCTAAAACTTGGATTCATGACAACATATACATGGTTTACTTAGTTATCTTCCTATATTTTGCTTTATTGAGCCGAAAGTCTTCCAGAAACAACCTCTTTACCTTTATAAGGTAGGGATAAGGTCTGCGTACATGCTAGCCTTCGCAAATCCTATTTGTAGGAATACACTGGGTATGTTATTGTTATTGTAGTAGTTAATTTTCTTCCTATCAATTTCTTGTGTATTAGATCTGAATTCACTCCTTCTGTAGCCATTGAGATCAAGAATTGTTTGTGTTCTATATTTAGTATCAAATTGTCTCATTATTTTTGTATGTATTCCATGAACAGATGCCAGGTAGAACAGACAATGAAATCAAGAATTACTGGAACACAAGGCTAAAAAGAAGACAAAGAGCTGGTTTGCCTATATACCCTCAAGACATACAACCACAATTAAACCAACAAGAAAACCAATTACAACATAGTACTATCCCTTCACCATTTGATAATAATCCTCAAAATTCCAATTACGTTAATAATCCCCCTCTTTCCCTTTTAGATATTTTCAATCCTTCAACCATGAAACCTAGTATGTCAGATCAATATCAATTCAATAATCCTTCTCCATATCTCACAACTACAAATAATAACAACAAACTCAAGCTTTTTCGCGATCCTCGAGTTAGTCTTTCTTTAACATTAGCATCATCGATAAGAAATTCACAATTTTCTTCAATGGTAGCACCCGTGCCTAATAATTTTAGTCAGGGCTACTCTAATTCAATGCCAGTGCCACCACTTCAACATAATTATCCAAATTTTGGCACCACTACAAGACCTTTAATTGGGATTTCCTCGAACCCAAATGGTTTAATCTTAGGTATTAATTCGCGCCTCAACTTGAAAATTTTGTTGGCATTTATTATTTTCTTTATATACATTTTTTCAACTGTACTTGTATTTTCACTAACAGGCATGGGCGTACAAAACAACACTTCAGTCCAATCGTCCATGCCCGAGACTACAACATGTTCAAGGAATACAGGGAGTGATTTTATGAATACAACATCAAGTGATGATGCTGATAATTATGTTGTTAATCATGGATTATCGCGAGGAAACAGTGGATTATTAGAAGATTTGTTAGAGGAGTCTCAGGCTTTAACTAGAGCTGAGAAAATAGAAGAGAATTGTCCCATTGAAAATGAGGCTAGTAAAGGGAAATTAGTGTGGGAGGAATATGGATTAAGTGAAGAGGCAGAAGATATTATTTTAACTGAAGAATCAACATTTAGTTTTGCTCAAGAAGGTGGTGATAATGCCACCCCAAATAAGCATTCTGAAGACTCCAGCTCTCTAAATTCATCCTCAGGTAATTTCTCCAATATTGTTAATTAATTGGACTTAACTTATATACACTGACATAAAAGTATTCATACTACAATATATTTTAATATATTGTATCAGGTATTTTTAATTTTTCAGGTTATCAAATTAGGGTTATTATAAAAAGTTACCTATTGTTGTATGTTTTCTAAACTTGATTGTGTAGGTTAACTTTTGTGCACTGACAATGTACAATTTTTCCACAAATAGCCGGCCAAATTCAATGTTTACTTTTTCTAGCCAATATACACAGATTATACACTGAATATACATAATTTGTGATACATGAATTATACATATATTATATATTTGCTGATTATTTTTAGTTTTGAGTGAGCGGCTATTTGGATTAATTCTCCATCGAGTTTATAAGCATTCAATATTGGTAACTTGTAGGCGGTAGTAAATGGTAAGTAACCTACTATATATAACATGTTAAATTAAACCGATCGTGTAAAACTAAGGTTACACTGTTAGTGTGTGTGCATATACACACACTTCAAGGTTGTAGTGATATTACTTTCTTTCTTATATTTCATTCATTTAGAAGTTGAATAATTTTAATTATTGTTTCATATATATAGGGATAACAACAAAGGAAGGTACATTAGAGCTGGCTAATCAAGTGGATGAGGATATTATGAGATTTCTTGATAATTTTCCAGTAGGTGTACCAGTTCCTGATTGGTATAATGATGAAAATGATGAGCAGAATACTTCTAATGGCCAATCTTTCGAATGTGACCAAATACAATCACATTGCTCAAAATCAGGCTGATGAAGATTCAAATTCATCAATATGGGAAATTGGAGCATGTTATTATAGTGACATGCTTGTTTTTTTTTTTTTTGGTTAATTAAAACTAGTAAATTAAGACATTTATATTCAAAAAAAAAAAAAAAAACGTCAAGTAGATAGCAAAGATTCTTGGATTTTGCTGTTACCTTTTTAGAAAAAAAAAACTTTAGGTTAATATGTAGATATAATGATAATTGGCCATTCAATTGTATTGGCTTAATTATCTGTTGTGTACGA